ATTGCCGCTTTGGACATCTTCCGCATCTAACCTCGACAATGTATAGCTTTGAACACCGACAACCTTAAATCTATTGTGCGATAGCGAAAGCAACTTACAACCGCTATCGCTGTTCGCGGTTGCGGCGACGAGGGTGCCAGCGCTGCTACAGCCCGACAGGCAAAGCTGTTTGAGGGTTTCAGGCGTCCTCAGAATCCGGGGTGAATTTTCTTGCACGGTGCCTGTACCGGGGCATATTTGACATGGGCGGAACGCTGCCCCATGGATGAACTAAATTGCTAAATCCAGGGTGGAGAGTCAATGAGAACAAAGGGCAGTTGGAAAGCAATGTGGGGGTAGTGAAGGGAAAGGCATTTGTTTGAGCCGGGGCTGGGCTTTTGTGTTCTCCGAATGGCGCACGCCTTCAAGTGAAAACCTACAAAGGGTACCCTCCAACTACGCTCGCGACGAAATTTCTGGAAGTCGAATTTGCAAGCCGAACTTTTCGATCCCAAGCAGAGGGCAGTCCACTCCCAAATTCATGGTCGCCACATGATGAGAGATACCACACGTCCGAACACCGGGCCGAAAAAGACAAGTCCACATGCCACAGGTGATTTCCGAATTGGTGCTGGGCCCACCATGATTGTGGCGAGTTTCGTTAACCCCGTGCTCGTCACACTGCCCTTTTTTGGCTTCAAGGCCAGGCACCGCTTTGATGATTGCCCCGCACAAATTGAAGAGATAACAGCAGAAAGGGTTTGTTGCAGTGCAAACTTGTTGAAGGTATACACCTATGGCCTATGTATTGCAGCAGCGCTCGCATCCTGCGTGGTCTTCCGCTCAGCGTGCTCTGTAGAACAACCTCGAGAGCCTCTGTCTGAACCACAGACTGCAATCTGGGATCAGCTTCTTCAGATCAGATAGTCAGGGTGTGGTGGAGATGGAGATAAGACGCTTGAAGATCTCGGCAGACGGCGCGGCGTGGCAGCATAAGGTTTTTTTCGCCCACAGCAGCTTCGGTATGAAACATGAGCCTGTTTTGCATGGACGCCTCTTGCACGTACGTCCTCGTGCTGTCAGGCTTTGTTGATGCTGGCCTTCATTCCTGGTTTCGGGATCGGATCGAAAGTCCCGAGCTTTGAGCATGTGGCCCTTGTGCGCCGAGACATCCGGAGACTGAGGTGCACCTTCTCGTCTCTTCTCTGGCAGCCGGCGGAGTAGTTCCGAACATGTCCCTGGAGACAGGCCAGAGCCTTTTTCGCAGGCCCAGGCCTCGGGCTTTAAGAGAGCTGCAGGCTATGGCATTGTAAGGCGAATCGTACGTGCCGCTCTTCACGAAACGAGTTTGCAAGGTACCTTGTTTTACAGTTTGGTCATGGCTGGAAAATCATCGGGTTCAGGAAACGGTGAAGATGCAGGAATGCCGCCAGAACTTCAGCATGTTTGAGCATGCTTTCTCGCCACCCGGTCTTTCGTGCAGGCCACTCCTTCATGGGCTCAGCCGTGGGCGGCTTGCTGACTGCCTCGCTTTACGGTTCGTGGTGTGGTCTGAGGCACTTCCCACATGTGCAACTGCTGTATCCTGTCGCAGTGCTGGCTGCTGCTAACAAACTGGGAACGCCTCTATCACAATTGTGCTCCATGTTTATGTATGAACGCGTCCTGTGGTAGTGAGACGTCTCGGCCTTAGAGAGCGCTTGAACTAAGCCTCGAACAGAACGAGCAAGACCAGACAAGAAGGCAGCTGCAAGATCGGAGGAGGAACCGCGGGACGGGGCTGGAGTGGCTCAAGACGCATGAAACTCCGGGCGGAAGCGCAGCCTCGACAGTTCTGATGGTGGTTTTATCAATTTACCACTTTGGTTTCCCATCACCTCATCCTGGGACAGGACCCTTGTCCTGTTGGACCTGATTGCACCACTTGTCCCTCTGGGTACTGCCCTCAGCTACGAGCAACAGCAGGCCGTGCTTGTTTGGTACTCCGTATCTCTTCATGAAACTGGAGCTGTCTAGCAGCAGAAGATTTCATACAGTGTGACTGCTTACCTCAAGCTTGTAGCTGCCAGATTTGTGTACGAAGATAAGACAGGCATCAGGGTTCCTCTTATGGTGAATGGTCAACCTGTGTCGAAGTCGGTCCTTCGTCATGCGGCACTTGCGGGCACTGTTTCAGGGGGAGCATCTAAAGCTTCAAGCTTTATCCAGCTTGAAGTAGTATTCCTTCAATGCAACCACTTTACTTGCAGCAGACTTGCCTGTATGTCGAGGCCATGCTGTCGGGAAGGTTGGCTGCTTCCTGTCACTGCCTCGAAACCATGCGATGTTGTTCTTTAGATGTAAAGGTCCTGCAGCAACTGAACCCCACCGACGGTTGCCTGTACTTCTCTGGCCCTGGAGTGCCACGCGAGGTCGGGAGATGGCTGCTACGGGCCCCGGACGAGAGCCGATGCTCCATGGGCCGGGTGCCCTTGCCTTCAACCCGCGGGTCCCCTCGATATTCACGACTGTTCACGAGTCGTTTTTCGAAGTCGAACTTCAGGCGATGTCCTTCCCGAACGGCTTAGTGCCAGTGCCCCTCCCTTGGCAGCTGCGGGAGTATGAGAGTGCCGCGCTTGGTCTCGCGATCCGAGGAGGGAGCCGGTTCATCCGACTCCACTTTACGAGTCTGCTCTCTCCATGGACGGGGGCTCGAGCTGCTAAGCCGCTGGTGTTCCGGAAAGACATCGACCCCTCCAAGGCACTTTTCCTGTTTCTCCACTTTGCCGTGGCGCTGCCCCAGAAGGGCGGCCGTCAGCGCCGTGTAGGCGTCACTTTCGCGTCTGCACCTTCTTGTAGAGTGCGGAATCGAACGGTTTATGCTTTTGGCTTGCCGGAAAGGTGTCAGGAGTGCATTGACGCTCTCACTATATGGCCTGGAGCGCATGTTGGTGGAACCTTTTCGGAGGAGCGTGTCGAAGCTGGTTTCCTTCTTGTGCTCGCAGCGAGACGACCCTGTTCGAATGCTCCTCGTGCACCCGAGGCATCCCCCCAGTGAGTACCTCTTCGGCCTGACCGAATATCAATTCCTAGCCGAGCCTTGATTGCAGCAGTAGTTCCATAGAGGCAGGACTTTTGCATTAGTCACATCCCTTTGGAGCCATGTTGTCCTCAAACCGTGGATCTTGCCACTGTAGCCGGCTCAGTCGTTCTCCACATCGTTGCTGAATATGCATCCAAAGGTGATCTTCATCCTCATTGGTGGAGACGGGCACTTAGTCTTGAAGCGCTGCTGGACTCTGACAGTCCTCGTTTCAAAGAGCATGACGGGCGGATGTTGCGAGCTGTAGCTCCGCAAGTTTCCCTGCCGTTGTCTTCGTTGAAAGAAACTTAAGCGCGATATGCCAAGCTTATTGGGGTTGACGCCCAGGTGCGTAATTCTGTTGGTGGTTGGAATCGTTGGCCTCAAGACTTGTCATGGCTGCTCATCACTCTGCCTGGAAGATGCTGGCTCCCAGCAGCGGAACGTTGTGTGCCGCGGCGGGTTGGCTAAAATCGTCACACTTCCCAGGTTGGAGCTGAACGAAGCTGCCTGTCGTTGCGCGGCCACTCGAAATCAACGTTCTTTGAAGGAATCGGAAGGCCGCCTCCGGCTTCGCTCAAGTTTAGATAGTCTTCGTCAGTTTAGGGTTGCACTCAGGACTGAAACATAGATCGGTACACAATCGATTGAATAGCTTAATCTCGAAGTAGAAGCTCATACCACCCGCTCCACAGCGTACACGACATCATGGCAACCAGAAAGTGTTCGGTGCCCTTACAAAGGCCAGATCATAAGCGCTTTGGCAAGAGTCCGTAACGATCCAAAGACAGTCCGTCCTTGATCGGTGGAAGCGGGGTTACGTTGGGAGAGTTATTACAGTCCACATTGAGAGTTGTTTGATGTTGCTCTATTTCTTGTTGTAAGCACTAGATCTTCGGGCTTTGCGCTCGTGGGGTAAAAGGATAGACGTCTGAATTGTTGCTCGACGCACGGCCAGGCACATGCTGCTGGTGTCATCCCTTTGCCTGCAACTTTCTCCATGCCATAGTATGTAGAAGAAGCTGAATCCCTCATCGCAGCAGCAAGAACTGTCCTGCGAAAGCAACCTTGACAGCCGTGGTTCTGGCAACCTGCCCGAGTCGCCTAGCACCTGTGCTGGCTTCCGTTCCAGTCCCTCCCCATCAAGTGTGCATGCGAACGACAGAATGCTGAAAGAGATGCTGTCAAATTTTGAGCCAGCGCGTTTGGAGAATGCTGCGGTACATCGCGTGACCAGCCAGATGTGGCCTCGTGTTGCGGATTAGACGGAGCTCGGAAGGAGCTTAGGACCATGAGCGCAGCTGAAGCCCGCTCTGCGGTGGAATCTCTTTGGAATCGTTACCCGAGGTCTTGTACGCGCTAGGCTCCACTATGGAGCCCTGGCCCCTCAAGCTCTCGGAGCAGGACTTCGGAGAGGACATCACATGAGGCAAACGGAACAAGGCAGGAAGTCTTCAGCAAGCGGCTGTCAGGATCCGGATCAGGCGGAGGACAAAGATAGCAAGAAGAGTCAGTAGGAGCGAATGTCGCATTCGTGAGGGGTGCAGTTCGGAATTCGGATCTCCGTGCCTGATCACAGAAAAGCTGTGACAGCAAAGACGATGCGGTGCTGGTCAAAAGAGGATCTTACGAATCGGCATGGACATCTTCTAGGGCACTTGGGTTCAGACTCCTGTCTTGACATGTCTTGACTGGCGGGTTTGATGTTCGCTTTTTTGGGCTTGAATGTGCTGGAACCTGTCACAGCTGCGCGGCTAAGCCGCAAAGCGAGTGGAATGCCTTCATTATCATCTCAACTTCCATTTTCCGTGGGATCTAGTTTACACATTCTGCACCAACACAGAGCATCACACGGCGTCTGACCAGATAGAGGTTCGACTTGTCAGACCTTGACAAAAAAGGAAAGCTGAGCCATCAGCTGGCTGCTAGACGAAGCGGGCAATGTTCTCGGTCTAGTGCGATGCGACCGCGAGCGACTGAGGATGCTGTCTCGTCCCAAGCTTTTTGAACCGCTGACTTTGTCGACCTGGAAGTGTCTGCGTCTCTGCTTCAGGCATGCAGCAGAGCGTGGGAACAAGCCGCAATTCGTGAGCAGCCCAGCCCCCTTATAGGCTTTCGGCATATCGAATCAGGCCAGCGGATCCCAGCGGCCGGGGTCTCTCCCCCAACATCCCAGGCTAGGGTCTTCAAGCTCTCCGGAGGTGACTTTCGCAGGCCCAGGGGAGACAGGGGGTTGGTTGGGCATGTCTATTGGCGTCGTGAAAGCTAGGGTTGCGCTGTTCTTCTCAGGAGTGGCATCAGCACCAGGGCCTGGGGCCATGTTTTTTTCTTTCGAAAGGGTTGTTAAGAGAGAGCAATGCTTCGTCAGAATATCATCAGGGTTGTTGCCTATGCAGGTGACGTTGCCATGGATACTCAGGCCATTGTCGCACGCCCAGCACAGCTTGGACAATGCGCGAATCTCGATCAATTTCTTCAGGATTTTCTTGGTGGCCACGCTCTTGGCACCATGTACGGGCCAAGACGATGGGGAGCAGGAGAGCTCGAAGAGCTCTACATTCTGTGCCTTAAACGTGCTGCACTTGGCATGGCCTTTCTTTGCCAGGAGGCAGAGGCAATAGACTTCAGTCTTCCTGGCGAGGGTACCGTGAATTCAGTAGAGGAGGCGATGGCCCATCCCGCAAAGTAGATGCAGAAATGTGCAGCTGCTCTGCTTGCCAAGATTATGATCTCGACAGGTGGTCAGCGGGGTGTTTCTCATATATGGAGAGATGGACGCTGACCTGTTGACAACAGGAGTGGGTGTGTTGCAGGGCACGTGGAACTTGGGCCGGGGCTGTTCAAGCACAGGGGCGGATAACACTTTTCATCGCACGAGTCGGATGGTCACCTCCGATTCACAAGAGTCCACTCGCGGGAAGATTGCTCGGCGGCTAGCATTTTGCTTCGAGCTTTCTCCGAAGTTGGTGGCAGGAGACCTCGACATAGTAGTGACGGAGACTGTCGGCAGCCTCCTTAGTCCAAAGAGGCTGCCCAGACAGCAGCATCCAAGAGAAGCGTCTACTGAGTTTTTCGGACATATGAAACTTGCGTACATACATACGTACATACATACATACATACATACATACATACACAGACAAATATATGAACCTGCGGCACTGGCGGGGCCAGAATGTCACCGTGCTGTAACTCTTGAGGCAAAGTTTGCAAGAACTTCGAGCGGAGTTCTGGAGCGCCGACTCTTACGAAAATGTTTGTGGCCGGCGACCCAGGGAGCCAACACGGCAGAGGTGATCTTCCCGCTCTTCTAAGGTCAAGGAGTCAAGGCAGGTAAGCTCCAATAAGTTTAATGTGCCGCTTGTGACTCGTGGCTCCATTCCATACTGCCCTTGCTTGTAGCACACCTACCCTGCACCCGGGGCTGTTCCCCAAGGACGTGCGCACAGTGGGACAGACGCGATTAGGCGGGGCCTCTCGTGGCGTTCCCTCCGGAGCGGTCTAGCCTTGGCCTTGGCCTTCGGCGCAGGCATGAATTACACCTGGCAAATGCTGCCTCCCATTGAGGTTCGCATTAAAAAGCACTTGTAGTTTGGAGAGACTAGGCCCTACTGGGCCCCTTCCTGATCAGGCTGGCAAGGACTGTTTCTTGACTGCAGCATGTCCTCGTCATGCTCCGAACTAAAATCCCTAAACCCTTAACCCAAGAGGCCCTAAACCCCATTGTCTTCATCAAATGAGGCATCAACAGACTCGCCATGGCTGCGTCCTTAGAGACTTGCTCAGGGCTAGGAGACTGGCAACGCAAGCTCGGACGGGCCATCGCAACTTAGGTGAGCTTTGGACCCAAAGAGCCTCCTTTTGACAAGTTCCCTGCTCCGCCAATCAGGTCCAGGGCGTCCGAATCCGCCTTCAGCAGTAGAAACAGTATCTTTGCAAGCTTTGTCCCAGATTTCCTTGCTGGCAGGGCCTTATTCGAGGCTGAGATGCGCCTCCATCCGCCAACCAGGCCACTCGTAGGTGACACCAGAATGGCCTCGCGAGACATGAATCGCAGGTTCCTCAACATCACTGGCTGGACCTTGAGCCTGCAAAACATGTCGTGTGACGAGCGGCAGGCCAGGCATGCAAGAAGCAAGAAGAACCCTGCTCTCCACACTGCACTCCTTCGCAGGTTATAAAGCATTGGAACCACAGCAGAAGCATTGATGTCTTCCCCACGGAAGAGATGTGGCCTCAGAGCGTCGCAGCTACCTGCAAGATATGCACTATCAAAAAGCCGCCCTAAGATGCCCTAAGGCCCGAGTGCCTGGGAACTGACAGCGTCACCTGGGAGCCCAACCTGGAAGGCCGAGCTTCGGCCCCCTCGGCCCTTTTCTCCTTTTGACATCTCCACACCTCTCACTCTCTGCTTTGGGATGTTTCCCCCTTGTCAGGCGAGTTTGACCTCAACGAGGTCGGTGGCTGTGACCTTGCTGCTTCGCCGCGAAAAGTTTTGCTTGACAGTTTCCTAAGTTGAGTTTCAGCTTCATCCCGCATCCAATCATGGGAGTTTGGCACTTTGGCGCTATGTACAGCTTCTAGGAGCATGGCAGTCCAAAAGAGCAATGTTTTCCGTTTGGGCCTGATACACGCGGACATATGCTGCCGACATTGATTTATTTTGTTGCCCTTGGCATGCAGACGTGCTCTGAAATTGACCATGGGTGTGTCGTTGGACACTGTCCGGAGAAAGGGCTATGTGCCACACGACGCGACTTGAGACCTAGGAGCGCGTCTTTCTATAATGATCTTGGGTGTCTGCAAACTCACAAACATGTCGGACTGTCGTTGCGAAGATGCGAGACAAATGACAGAGAGCATGATATCCACCTCCAAGTATGCTCAGGCCGGAAGCAACCCCTGTGTTTGCGCTGCACTGTCAAATTGTGAATGGGCCTTGCTCTCAGTCCCAAACGACGGCGAAGTTCGCTTGATGTCAGCATTGCCGAAAGTGCTATGAGGTGACAAGTGTCAGCGGAGTGCCTCGTTGTGCTGGCAACTTAAGCTGCGGTGCAAGAAGGAATGCACGGGTCAGAGGAGTCTGTCTGGACATTGCTTGTCGTGCCCGACAGATGCTAGCGACAAGCATTTGATTTCAAGCTCTTGCAATCTCCAGGTGTACACCTCGCGACCCGGCGTGCCATGTGAGGCTTGCCCAAACCAGGCACTTGCATAGCCTTATTCTCGAGTTCAATCCGTTACAGAGCTGTGTTGTGTGACAACTCCGTGACAGCCACAATGCGTCATTACCCCCGAGAAAGAGTGTGAGATGAAGTCCACACCATGTGCCGGCAACCAAGCAATTGAGACCGTTAAGCTGTTGAGATTTTCTTCTTTCCCTTGCAGATCTGGACTGCAGGCATGTGTGCTTCGCGGCGGTGGATGCAACTGGGACATGGTACCTCGGCGGAAGACTGGCTTAAGCTGAGCAAATGGAAATGTACTTATCTTGAGGCCACGAGTCGCTGCTACTTCGATGTCACGGCCAGCACCGCTTGTTCTTCCTCTCAGACTGGCTGGACCGTTGCAGCGATGCAAAAAAAGCGAGTTGTTTGCGTGGCTCGAGGCATCGCCTGCTCTCGGCAGGGCTTCTGCAGTCTACCAGCAGCCGTGCCCTCATCTGACAGCATCTCTGCTTGTGCGAACTTCCTGGTGACTGCGTGTGGGGCAGGTTAGAAGCAAGCAACCTGAAAACCTGGCTCTCATGGGCCAGTCCAGCGCTCAGATGATGAAACGCGAGCCAAGAGCTCTTGTGAGTGTTGGGCCGAGCACCCTTGTACCAAGGGAAGAAGTGGGTTGGTTCATTAATGTGACTTTTAACAGGCAGGGTCGAAGCAGTCGTTGAAGGACGAAGTCCGTGCTGCAGCTCTCAACTCCTGCCAGGGACATTGAGTTCCTCCGCCTAGGTGCGCCAGGGACCAATGTCCGGGACAGTCAATGACAACACGTCGCTTTAAATCCGTTCTCAGCAACATTGGCTGTTGCTTATAAGATGTAAGCAGAATACCTCGGCGCTTCAACAGCTGCTTGGCATTGCCTGTTTGTTGGCCAGGCCTCGGATCAGGCGTCATGCTGCAGTCGGTTTCTCAGGAACAGTTCACTGATGTAGCATCAACAGTTTACGGCTGGACAGCTCGACGCCTTTTCTGAAAGAACTGGAGTCATTTCCTGGACAGAGGTACACGTACCAGTTAATGCTTGCTTCCCCGCCCTTCCTGTGCCCCTGCTTTTCCGAGATGTCGGTCGAACAGACCGTGCGCAGCTCAGTTGCCTATCCCGGACTTGGGGGGAGTCTATGCTGAGTATTGCTTTGCAGGAGGTCCCTTTCTTTCCGTCCGTTTGTCTGTCTGTCTGTCTGTCTGCCTGCCTGTCTGTCTGTCTGTCTGTCTGTCTGTCTGTCTGTCTGTCTGTCTGTCTGTGTGTCTGTGTTTCTGTGCGTCTGTGTGTCTGAGTGTCTGTGTGTCTGTGTGTTTGTCTGTCCGTCCGTCTGTCCGGCTGTCCCGTCCGTTCATGTACGTTATGTCCGTCCTGTCCTGTCCCGTCCCATCCCGTCCGGTCCCGTCCGTTCCTGTCCTGTCCTGTCCGGTCCGGTCCGTCCATAGAAACATACACATACATATGTATTTATGTATGTATGTATGTATGTATGCGGAAAGGAATCAAACATGTGCAGTAGTCGGTGCTAATAGTGTTGAGCCCAGTGACCTAGTTCAAAGACACTAGAGATTTTGTGGCTTTTATTGCTTGCTCTTGTAGCAGGGGAGATTGGCCACCAACCTTCGAGTTGGAGTACGGCCAGCTGGCACCGACCTCGCAGGGAGCATTGCAGCATGGCATGGCGTCTCCCGTGCTGTTGGCTTGGCATTTCGAGGTCATCGAGGGAAGCATCCTTCACATCAATGTCCGAGGGCTGCCCAATGACGAGAGACGGGACTGCGATCTCGCCACTCAGAGCAGACATGGGTTCGGAGGGTTTGAAGTCATCGGCCATGCTCGAGTGAAGAGCCATCGAGTGATGTCGCGGGAACGTTGCAGTCAGGTGATCGCCAACAATGCCGCGCCTTCCCTTGGGGAGTGATTCTTGCGTCTCAGTTCGATTCAGCCCTGGCCAAGCTGCAGGTGCGTGATTCCCAGGATCGGCTTCCGTTCGATGGCTTGGAGGCACAGACAGCAATCTTGGGGATGTCAATCCCGGCATTCCTTTGCCGTGGGGGTTTCAAGCTGCATCAGAACAACGTCATCTTCGTCACACTTCCGGACGGGATCCCTCCGGAGGCTCCGCAGCGGGACCACGCCTGATCTGCCGTTGTTGTTTTGGTTTGGGCAAGCCCTTGCCCCCCGACTGCGCTTGTGTCTTGGCTGCGTGGTTTCATTCTGTACCCTGTCTGGCTTCTGCACTTCCCTGGGCCTGCATGCAGGTAGTGAGCTTTGAGCCAGCGAACAGCGTTTTCAGCTCGGTTGGTCTGCCATGATTCTGCTATGCTGCAACACGCCAGCAAGGCACGCGGAGTTTCGCTCGCCATGACCTCGGGGGTACACACCAAGACAGGTTGGCATAGTCAGACTTCGACTCTGGTTGTGCTCAGGCCACAAAGGTTCACTTCCATTTCAACGAGAATATCAGATTCTGCCAATTGCCAAAACTTGCACAGATAGAGCTTTCAGTAGCCTCATGTCGTGCCTTCCACATCTCAGCTGTTGCTCGATTTTCCAGACTCCATTGGCTATCTGGAACTGTACATCCTTGGAGGAAATCGCACTGGTAGGGGCCCCAGAATCGGTTCACAGCCACTATATCGGAGTGTCTCTAAACGCGGCACGCGCCTTGTCAGATCGTGCTGCAGATATCAAGATTGCAGAGATCTCCGTCTGGGACGAGGCAAGTTTTTGATAGTTTCTATCTCAGCGACCTGGGTGCTGCATGCGGTCGTAGTGCAGCTATGCTTTAGCAAAGTATTCCTACTCGAGAAACAGAATGATTGAGGATGTTTTGCAGTGGGCCGGCCACGACCAAACGCACAAAACCACACAAGCACTTCATTATAATTATGCATGATCCTATGCCGAGAGGCACCTCCGTGCTGTCAGCAGTCTTCTGTCAAGCAGGCGGTGGCCATCGACAGGGACAACCGCAACATTCTTCATGTGCAGCTGACTGGACTGCTGAGCACCAGCACGTAAGGGCCTTGAGCTTCTAATCTGCAGGGTCCGACAGTTGCTATGGCGGGCTCAGGTACTATTCGCTGACCATTCCACCACAGGCAGCAGCCATTGTGTCTTGAGCAAGCCATGCTTTCCCAGTTCAGTTTCGAATTGCTATGATGCTTGCAGACAATAAGCGACATCTCCAACAACCCATTCGGAGGTTCTGGTCTCAGAGGGTGTTTCGGAGTACGTCATAGAGTGCTCGCTCGATTTATCAGTGCATGAAACAGCATAAGGGACAGTGTGCTTGAAGGAAACAATCATACATGCTCTCGCAACCACGAGCGGCACGAACAGGATGATCAGGAAGGATAAACAGCATGAGACAAAGTTTTTTTGTCCGAATAAATGTTGTGGTTTGCGCAACTCCTGAGGCATTGACCGTGGTGTGTATATCTTTCAGACTGGCGCAGCAGGGGACACAGCTGATGACATACACGAGAGTGTAAGATGCGCATGTTGCGGATCGTGAGGGGAGAATGTGACGTATTTGCAGTCATGGCTGTAGGAAGAAATCGTGGAGGAGCTCGTGGACGACACCGAAGGTGCACGCATAATGCTGCTTATTTTTTCGTGGGCAACATGGGACAGAAGTGGCGGGATGTTCCGTGGCAGATGCCGTCAGAATGTTGCGGCATTTGCACTAGCCCTGCTGAGCCGTTGGCCACATATCCATGCCCGGGAAGCTTACAACGCAGAGGGTTCGCTTGTGACATCTCGGAGTTTCGTTCGTGACTTGTTGCTTTTTGTCGTTGCGAAGTGCGGAATTGGCATTGGTTTCGGACCCACGAGCCTCCGACTCTGTGGTTGTCGCCGGCTAGAGCCTGAGCCTGAAAAGCCTGAGAAGCACAAAACCTAACCACGCGCCCAAAATCCTTGAACCCTAAACCCCAAACCGCAAAACCACACTGAGCCCAACAACCCAGCCCTCACCCTCAAACCAAACTCCGAACCCCAGACCTCGACCCTAAACCCTAAACCCTAGACCCTATCTCCCCCATGCCCCAAAACCCTGTCCCGAAACCCTAAAACCTGAACCCTCACCCTAGCCAGGGCTGTTTTCAGGAAGACCGGACCTTAGATGCAACATCCCACAACCCTAACTCTAGCCCTAAGCCGTGGGACCGCACCCCTACACCTTGCCCGCGCAACATCTCAAGACCCTGAGCCCCCTGAACCCCAATCCCAAAACCTGTGCAATCCGAAAGCCAGCCTAAGCCCTGAAACCCAAAACCTAAGCCCTAAACTCTGTCTCCCCCATGTCCCTTCAGCCCTAATCCCGAAACTCTAGACCCGAACCCCAACCGGCGGTGGAAAAGGTGCTCCAAAAAGCTTTGTCTCTTTATATATAACTTAATCCCAAAATTGAAACTCCGAACCCTTAACCTGCAACCCCTAACCAGCCTAAAGCCGAAGCGGTAACCACTCTGAACCCTAAACCCCAAACCCTAAACTCTACTTCCCTTATATGACTTAACCTCCCAGCCCTGCAAAACCCTACGCCCAAGCACTAATCCCGAGGCCCTAAACCCTCCCAA